TGGTTCTTCCCCCCCCCCCCCCCCCCCCCCCTCAAATAGAATCCTAGGTTTGTTCAAGCTAATTACTATCGTCATCATTTCGCTCTTTATACATATAAATGCGTAGATGAGTACATACATGGATGCAGAAATTCATTAACATGTTTGTTCATGTATTACGAGATGGGTTTTGTAAAGGAAGAAGATTGTTGTAATTTCTTGATTTTAGTTTGGAAATATGGGTTATTTGATGGTTTTTAGGTTTTCACTGCATTTTAGTAACTTTTTTTATTTTATTTTGTTTTTCCTTTGGTTAAAGATCTCAGCTTTATGAGGTTTATGTTGTAATATATAGTACATTCTCAATCTAGGGCTTCTTTTCCAGATCCCCAATTTTTGTCATCCATGCATCACTCGCCAAGGTCAGGGTTTCATCGAGTCCCTTCCTCCCAAATGCCTTTGATTTGAAAACCCCAAAGTTTCGATTTGTTTCCATTTTTGAAAGTTTCATCAATCTGCAGGAAAAGAGATTTCAGAATGTGGAAGCAGATTTTGAGTAAACTCCCTCGCAAATCCGCAAAATTGGATGCGGATTCGGCAAGAACCCCTAATTCTGGCATCAATATGTCATCCCCTGGCTCAGGCCGGCCTAATGCTGCTAGCCCTGCTGTTAAACGGGCTGCAATTTTCCCTGCCAGTCCAATTGCCGGCATCGAACCATTGCTGGCATTTAAAGATGTACCAAGCTCTGAAAAAATGAATCTTTTCATCAGTAAGTTGAGCCTCTGCTGCGTGGTGTTTGACTTCACAGACCCTGTGAAAAACACCCAAGAAAAGGAGCTCAAACGAGCCACACTGCTTGAGCTTCTCGATTTTGTATCGCAGAATTCCACAAAGTTCTCGGAGCCTGCAGTTTTAGCTGCATGCAAAATGTGTTCCATTAATTTATTTCGTGATTTCCCTCCTAGTTATCGGTCGAGTAACACCAATTTAGGTGAAAACGACAATGACTCCGAGCCAACATTTGATCCTGCGTGGTCTCACCTGCAAATTGTGTATGATTTCTTTCTCAAGTTTGTGACTTCACCGTCACTGGAAGCAAAGGTCGCAAAGAAGTATATAAACCATTCCTTTATTACAAGGACTATTGACTTGTTTCATTCTGAGGATCCCAGGGAAAGGGATTGTCTAAAAGCAATTCTGCATAGGATTTATGGGAAGTTTATGGTTCACCGGCCATTTGTAAGGAAGAGTATGAGCCATCTGTTTTACAGATTTGTGTTTGAGACCGAGAAGCATAATGGGATTGCAGAGTTATTGGAGATTTTTGGGAGTGTGATTACTGGATTTGCTTTGCCGTTGAAGGAAGAGCATAAGATTTTTCTTTGGAGGGCATTGATTCCGCTGCACAAGCCAAAGTCACTGGGGGTTTACTTTCAGCAGCTGTCATATTGTGTGACACAGTTTATAGAGAAGGAGCCAAAGTTGGCCGGTGGCGTGATTAAGGGTCTATTGAAATACTGGCCAATCACAAATAGTCAGAAGGAGGTAATGTTCTTAGGTGAGTTGGAGGAGATTCTGGAAGCAATTAACATGGCTGATTTCCAAAAAGTCATGGTTCCATTATTCTGGCGGATTGGACAATGCATCAGTAGCTACCATTTTCAGGTAAGTTTCCCTTTTCTGTTAACCAGTATAGTTTCAGTTGTTGAATATGTTTATTATCCATATATTTTAGACTTGTCAAAATATCTGTATCTTTTAGGAAGTGCCATGAATACCAATGGATAGACATTTACTTCTAGTTTTTTGTCTTTTTCATTGATTGATAAAGGACTAATTAGTTACTTAGAATCTAAATCTTGACATCTTTATTGTTGTCAAAGCTATTTGGATGCTAAAGGATGGTGTTAAATGTGATTTCCATTTTAAAGCATGGATACATTTACTTTTTTGATGTTGGTATCATTGTTAACTGTATGTTAAGACAATGGAAAATCTCCGTGCATTTATTGGACGTCAAGAGATCAAGATTTTATGATTGGGATTTGCCTTCTTTATGCTGTGTGTCCTCATTTATTTTATGTCACGAGTCCCTCAACTTTACACTTCCACAATTTTATTATTCCTCGGACTAGGATGTGTGCATGAGGTCCTGCGTTCACCATTTGGATCTGTGCATCCATTTCTTTTTATTATAGGTATTTTTAGTCTCTACACCTGTAATCCATCATAGTAGTGGTTGTTATGAGCATGAACAACGAGGATATAGCTGAATGAAGTATGTATGCTGGATTGTGTTGTTCTCATCTTACTAAGGGAATTAATTATTCTTGCCATTTTTTTCCTACATACCTACATATGGCTTCCACCCACCTCAATCCATCTCAAAAAGATGCTCACATGGGAAACACACATAAAAGGGAACCTAGTTCTTGTGTTGAGGGATCTGGAGGAGATTAATCAATCTGGATTTTTTCTTAGTTTGAAACATATTTTTATAAGCTTAAATAATGAATTTTGGTTTGCTGACCATCATCTGAACTCTTTCGCTAGATGTGCGGTTTCTGTCCTTAGATAATGAAATTGACCATATGTGCTCTGTGCTAAATTGCTTTGAGTCTTTGTACTATGAGCACAAGTTTGTCTATGATGAAAATAAGGAGTTTTGCTAGGAACGACTGATTTTTAATATGGTTGTTTGATCTTGTCTGTATCAGGTAGCCGAAAGGGCTCTGTTCCTATGGAACAATGACCAAGTTATCAATCTAATTGCACATAACCGGCATGTGATTCTGCCCATTGTACTCCCGGCTTTAGAAAGCAATGCTCAAAACCACTGGAATCAGGCTGTGCTCAACTTAACCTTAAACGTAAAAAAGATGTTCTCTGAAATGGACGATGCTCTGGTCCTGGCTTGCATTTCCAGTTACAATGAGGAACAAGAAAAGCTAAACTTTGAAGTCAAGAAGCGGAAGGAAGCGTGGGAGCTCTTGGAGAATGCTGCCAGTCGCCAGCCAATAGCTGGAAACACTGCAGTTCTTGTAACTCCTTGAACACTACGAAATGTTCTGTTTGTGTGTGCGCTCACCTATTTTGGTTGTTGGGGGGACCTTAAGAGTTGGGATGGTCATGGATGTCGTCGTGCATGCTCAATACATAGTATTGGAAAGGACTGGACGACAAGCTTCTTTTTATCACTTGCTGTTTCAGTGCTGTCCAATCGTCCTTACCGAACATGCATGGATTGTTTTGGAGGATCCATCGATAACCTGTTGTAACAAAATCTAATCTGATGCTGTTTAATTATGTTGTTTTCCCCTGAAACTGATGGATGGGAAGAGTCCTGTATCCTTTTCCCCTTGATTGAATGTACATTTTCCTTATTCCTCCTTGTTTGTTCGGATTATTTTTTGCCTCTAGGTGTTTGTATTGATGCTTGTTTGGCGAAGCTTAAATTTTAACTTAACCTGGTCAAATAAATACGTTTATCAACATATTTGTCGGATTCAAAAATTAGTACTCCCTTATTGTATACACAATTGATCAGATTCATAGCTTATAAGTACTACCAAACTCGTATGTTGTATGGTTTTATCTCTTTATATTTGTGCATTGCTTCTAGCTTAATGTGAACCGTAATGAGGGACAGTTAATATCATTTTATCAGAAACCGAAAACACAAGAGGAAGAAATCAATTAAAACTTATTTATTTTACCTTTTGACTCATAAGTAAACTTTTTAAGCTGAGCCAAACATGTTCTACCATCTTGAAGAGATTTGATATGTATGATACAAATTTGGAGTAATCCCGAGCTCTATATTTTCTTATAAATGGTCTACCTGTTTTTATTTAACTAGTACTTTTGAAAAAAGAAAGAAATAATAGTTGTCATCATCATTCATCCATGCTGTTACTTACACGTGCCATTATCTCAAGAGACAATGCTCATTGTAGGGATCCGATGTCAAGCAAGACCACATACCTATTCTCTAAAAAGTACTAAAGGTTACATAAAAGTGTGAGTCGGGATATCAAAAGAGCCGAGCTCGTCAAAATGGGCCTCGTGGGAGGCTCGAACTCGTAAAATCACGAGCTCGAGCTCGAGCACGAGCACGAGCCGAGTGGGCCTCGCCAGGAGGCGAGCCGCTCGTGACTCGTTCAAACGACAAGCCATGAGCCCCCAAAGGTAAAGTGACCAAAACGATCACTTTTAAAAAAAAAAAAAAAATTAATTTCCACCTCCCCCTTCTACTATAAATACTCCTTCCTCCAAAGATTTTTTTTTTCATATTAATTGCTACTCCAAGTCTCCAACTCTCTTTTATTATACGAATTATCGAGTTTTTACTCTCTCGTGTTGAAAAATATACGATATCAATTCAATTTTTACAGTTTATTGGTTACAATTTTAATTCATCCAATTCTCAATTCTCAATTCTCACAATCTCACTACATTTATATTCTTCTAATTAAGATTTCATCATAAATAATCAAACAAATAGATCAATGCTCATTTGTTGAAAGCTTGTTCGATACAGGATGTGGGCCACATTATGGCGAATCGCCTAACACGCCGCAAAGTCAATTTTCCAAATGAATTTGCCAGTCTAAATGATCTACCGATACCTGAAGATGTTCACATTCACGGTCAAGGAAGCCATAATCCAATTGATTTGGATGATATTAACGTTCCCGAAGTGAAACGTGAGGATGAAGATGCTGAATTAAACATGTTAGATGCGAGGAGAAAGCGAAAGGCCAAAAAAAAAAGCAAAATGCTGGGATCACTTTAAATTGATTTTAACGGAAAAAGTCGTCGATGACCTTGCAGAATCTAAAGCAATATGTAAATACTGCCAACAAAGATTGGCATGATAAAAAGGAATTGGTAACACCCATCTCAACCGCCACTACAAAGTATGTGCGGTCAGACATGGACTTCTTCCAGCTGGTCAAACACAATTACAATTCGACAGTCCAGACGCCAGTTCTACAACTTCACCCCTATCCACGTGGGTGTATTCGGAGGACAATACTCGAATCGAAATGGTGAAATTTGTTGCCGCCACTAAGTTACCTCTGATTATTGCAGACAACCAACACTTCGTCTTGTTCGTGAAAGAATATCTACAACCGAGGTACGTTGTGGTAAGTCGAAACACTCTTCGTGCCAATACAATAAATTATTTCAATAATCCAAAACAACAATTAATTATGAATTTGCAACAATATGGGGGTGTTATATCTTTAACTTTTGATATATGGGAAGTGGTTAATAAAAGAGCATATATAGCTGCAACCGCATACTATATAGATCAACTTTGGTGCATACATAAGAAAATTATTGCTTTTAGAATTATTGAGTTTTCCCACAATGCTAATAATATATATAATGATATTATCAGTATTATTAGAGAATATCATTACGAGACTAAAATTCGATCTTTTACTTTTGATAATGCTAGTGTTAATAAGGTAGTCGTCGATAAATTGTGTAGGACACTTCAACCTGATTTTGGTGGTTATTTGTTTCATATTCGTTATGTATGTTATATCTTGAATTTAATTGTGCAAGATGGTTTAAAACATATAAAAGATGAACTTCAAAGGATTAGGAATGCGTTAGTATATATTACGATCTCTCCTAATAGAAAACAAGCATTTTAAAATTTTTGTACCGAATTAGGAGTGATGACTGTTAAAACATTTGTTAGCGACGTAAGCCATAAATGGAACTCTACTTACTTGCTATTAAAATCATGTAAAGGTTTCGAAAATTTAATAACTGACTTTTATAACAATAGACACGTTAGAAGTGATGACGATGGTATGTTAAAAGAATCCGATTGGATTTTAGTTTTGAAAGTTAAACGATTTTTGACATCTTTTTATGAGATCACAAAGATTTTATCCGACGTTTATTATCCCACAAGCTGTATGGTGTTTGAACACCTTTATATAATTGCAAAAACATTTTATAAATATAAAAATGATCCTGCTTTTAGTGAAATTATAATTGCTATGGAATTAAAGTTTAGAAAATATTGGGAAGAACTGTCTATGTTATTTCATTTAGTATGCGCAATGGACCCCCCATATAATATTTCGGGAACTAAATACGTAATTGATCAAATCAATAGAGTTTTAATATTTGATACACTTATCACCTATAAGAATTTAGAACAAACATTATGTGGAATGTATGATTTATATGAGGAAAGAGTGGGTGCGAATGTTAATCGGGTACCCTCTGCACCTACTCCTTCTGCTGAAATTAAAAAAGATGATGCCAAAATAATGAATTTATTTCAAGGCATTAATACATTTAGATGTGATGCAACTGCAATGTGTTCATCTAGTGCCATGTCGTCTACATTTGCATCTCATCAAACATCAGTCGAAACTCAAAATGCGATACCTAGCGAATTAATTGATTACTTCAATCATAATATGTCAACAGACAGAACAATTAAAAAAAGTTCAAAAGAAGTAATTGAATTCTAACGAAAGTATGAAAGACGTTGGCCAATTGTTTCTGCAATTGCGAAAGATCTGCTGACACCTCTGATTAGCACTATTGCTTCGGAGTTTGCTTTTTGTGCAGGTAAAAGGATTTTAACCGATATCAAGAGCCGACTGAAAGAAGATATTTTGAAAGCGTTAATGTGCGTGAATGATTGGCAGGACGCTCATTTTCAACTACAAGATAAATACGCTGAAATTGCATGTCGTCAGTAAGTGATATTTGATTTAATTATATTAATCAAAATTTCTTTTTTTTAATCGTTAAATTTAATTTTCTTTAAAAAATTGTACACGTTACAACAAGTTGTTCGTGTACAATTTTTAACTCCGCCTACTTAAAATTGATGTAGCCGATCCCAAACCTGGATAAAGGAGGAGGATTTACATTTTATCTACTTTAAAAATAAATCAAAAAAATATATTTTTTATAAATGTATTTCAAAAAATAATTCTTCTTCATTATATAAATATTTTATACTTTATAAAAAGTATTACAATATGATATAAATAAAAAAACAAAAAATTATTTTCTTTAAATTATTTGTATTTTTTAACAATTTTTATTTTTTAAAAAAAGTATTTTCTATTATTTCATTTATTTGTTAAAAAAAATAAAATTAATGAGCCCACAAGTCCAAACTCGGCTCGATTCACGAGCTCGTGGGTCGAGTCTAGCTCATCCAAATTTAACTAGTCGAGCTTGTGTGATTAAGGGTCGAGCCGGCATTGCCACCACTAAGTGTGAGGTTTCAAAATTTTCATTTTAAGATCAACCTATGAATACACAGTCAAGACTGGCAAATGATCGCCGTTTTGAGAGGCGTAATCATTGTCCAAAATAAAAAGTTACACTTTGATGATGTCAGTATCTCCTTTACTATCACACCAAACAAGACAAGTGGCACTTTAAATATCAACACCTTATGGGGATGCCCCTTCACGTACATAAATTTTTTTTATAGACCTCTTATAAAATATACAAAGCATGAAGTGGGTGGATTATTTTACTCACATGGGCTGACTGAAATTCTAGGAAAATTTTCCAAAAGAATGGTGACACACGAATTAGGTTGGCATTGTAGCTTGATGTTACATAGGACAGCAAATTCTTGGTTAAAGGCCTATAAATAGGGGCAACGGTCCCTACAAATGGCCGGACTAATCCAGAATTCTGGTATGCACTTTCAAAAATATTTCCGATAAGATTTACTCTTTTCTTTTACAATATTTCAGCCATTATCCTGTTAAATTATCTTAAGTCGATCTAAATTTGTCGAGTCATTTTTATTCAGACACACATAAATGAAAATCACAAAATATATTTTATTTTCACCTGGCCAATGAGATTTAGGCGTAATAGCTACTGGGTACTTGGTGCCGACATCATGGATTTCGAGTTATGATATAAATATGAACAACCGAAATATATAAAATACCTTAGATAATCACTCATTTTGATTGCAGAAAGAAGATAACTAAGGGCATCTCCAACCACAACATCATTGCACCATTTTGCACCTTTTTTGGTGCAAAATTGCTCCAAACCAACACCAAACTTTGCACCATTTTGATGTAAAATGGTGCAAAGTGTAAAATGTCCCTTTTGCCCTTATTTAACATTTCTCAAATAAATTTGTTGAGGGTATTTATGTCATTTATGTTATATATTTTTTAATACAATAAATTATTATTATTTTTTAATTAATATTAATATTAATATTATTTGTATTTGTATTTAAAATAAATTTTAAATCTAAGACATAATAATTAATAAATTAATTAAAAAACGAAAACAATTTAAAATATGTCAAACACGATTATTTATTAAAGTTAATATGAAATATATTAAATAGCGACATACATACGATAATCTAATTTTATTTTTTTTAAAAAGGATACATTAAAAGTGCATTAATCGAAATTCATTAATCAATCATTTGTGGGATGAACATATGAATTCTGAGAATTAAATTGCAAAAATTTAGCGACTTCATAATATCGTCTATCCAAATTCGAAATGCATTGTACTATTTTCTGATGGCATGATTTTATATTTTCGTTGTTGTAGTATTTTTATTAATTGTTCTATGTTTTTTATATTTATTAATGAATTTAATATTTTCCGTAATTTAACGTAATTATTCATTTAGTAATTTAATTATTTATGAAATAATTAAATAAATAATATTTCGAATAAATAAATTATAAAGAATAAAAAAGGGAAGAAAATGGTTAAACACTGTTCATTTAGTGTAATTTTTAGTATAATAGTTGGAGATGAATTTTAGTTTAGTGTAAGATTTGGTGTAAAATTTGGTGCAGAATTGAAGATGGCCTCAAGATGACAAAAGGAGGAGCGGCAATGGCGTAACCGGAGAAAAAGAAAGTTCGGTCACAGATGATTTTTAGAGAGAAATGTACACGTACTGGACTTTCAAGAGGTGCTCAGTAGTGAAATTTGAAATTAGCAAAAAAACATCCCTATTGTTTGTACTCATTACAAAAATGGTCCCTATCGTTTTGAATCTGCTATTTACACCCTCATTTCAAACCTTTCTTGCAGAATTGGTTCTTTTCGTCATATTCCGATTAAATCCTTCTATTAAATGTGTGTAATTTGATGTAAAAGGTCCCTATTATTTGCTATAATTGCACAAATAGTCCCTATCATTTCAATTTTGACATTTGAATATTCAGATTGACATTTCTTTACTTAAAAGGTCCTTACATTCATTTTTTCCATTATAACATTATGAAATGACTAATTTATCATCATATTTAAATAACCAAATAGAAAAAAGAAATAATATAAAAAAATGTATTTAGAGTTTCTAATATTTTTTTAAAAATTACAAACGAATCTCACATATAAAAATTTAAAACATTCTAATAAAAAAATATTTTATATTCCCAAATAACCCACCTCTCTCTACCCGTACGCCTATCCTCCACCACCAAATTAATTAAAAAGAGAATTAAAAGTATAAAAAAAATATTTGATGAGGAATAAACACCATTTTGTTTTTATAATTTTTAATTATTTTTTTACTTTTATTAAGCTATTAATTATCTCTTTAATTAATTTTGTGGTGGTGGTGGAGTGTAAGGATGGGCGTAGGGTATGTATGTTAATTGGGAAGATGAAATATTTTTGTGTATTAGAATGTTTCAATTATTTTCATGAGACTCGTTTGTACTTAAAAAAAAAAAAAAATAGAAACTTTAGATACAATCTATTTATATTATTTCTATTTTCTATTTGGTTATTTAAATATGATGATAAATTAGTCATTTCATAATGTTATAATGGAAAAAATAGACGTAAGGACCTTTTAAGAAAAAAAATGTCGATCTGAATATCCAAATGTCAAAAATGAAATGATAAGGACTATTTGCGTAATTATTGCAAACAATGGGGACCTTTTACATCAAATTACACATATTTTACAGATGGATTTAACGGAATATGATAGAAATGACCAATTTTGTAAGAAATGTTTGAAATGAGAGTGTAAATAACAAGTTCGAAACGATAGAGATCATTTTCGCAATGAGTACAAATGATTGGGATTTTTTTCTAATTACCCTACATTTTGGCTAAAGCGTGTCACTCGAAGAGAGAATTATTTTTGGGTTTAGTAAGTGGATTGAAGATGGAAAAACATTTTTTTTTTTTTTGAGTCTGGTGTTATTATTTGTATATTTAAAAGTGTGTGTGGATTAAAGAGTTATCAAATCACTACTTTAAAAAAATATATAAAAAAAAAAATTGTAAGCAAATTATTTTAATAGTTTCCATTTTGGCAAATGTTTTCAAAATTGGATAAATTTCAAAATGCATAGCGAAAAGTGACATTTCGTGCAATTTTCACTTTCCAATTATCAACAAGGCCTCCGTGCTTCCTTGTAAAGAAGCACTTATAAAGAAGTATCTAGCATCTCTTTATTTCCTGCTAGACATTTCCAGGCCCTAAGAAGAAAAAGGTTTTTGTGCATGTAACTCAATAAAGATTGGACAAGATTAAATAAGAAAGAGATGACAAAATGTGTCACTTATGTTTAGTCACATATTCAACTAGTACGCAAACAAGAATTTCCAATTGAGGCCTTTTGTTGCATTTGAGAGTATTAGAAGCAAATTTTCAGCCAAGGCGAGCATGTTTGGCTATGCTTATAAGCACATGCTTCTCAGCTCACTAAGTTTGCACTTACCGCCAAAATATAACCACAAAAATGCCACTTAAAATCGTAGCCAAACATGCTCGGTTAAAGAAAACTGGCCGAGATAATTATACAATACACAAGTATTAAAAATAACTTATTCCATTGATAAATTAGAAAGTTACACAACATTGGGAGTTTTTTCACAGAACGGATCTTTAATTTTTCTATCCAGTTTACTAAGCTGACAAGGAGGAACATCAAAATTCAGTAAGTTTGGGAGAGAAATTCAAACTTTTAGTTCAAAAACAGCATTCAACAAATAATGAAAAAATGTATCTCCCCTGCATAAAATTTTTGAGCTATAACAAGAGCAAGGAGAGTTGTAAAAAAGGAACTTAACTTTATATTTATCGACAAAATGATGATTATAGTCTTACATGAACTTTTGTTGCATTGATGCAGTTTCTGTATGAATTTTCACAGAGTGTGTTAGTTACTTCTTTAAGAATGGCCCTTTTCTTATGCTGAGAAAATGCAGAGGAACTTGCAGCAGGTTCGTTCTCGTCAGATGCTACTCTTTTGGAGGTCGTTTGCAAAACCCGTCTAGCGTCCTGTTTGGTTGAGGGATGCAAAGGTGGCAATCCTCCTGACGAGCCTAAGGCTTTAGTCCGTGCTCGTGTGATTCGCATTGTAGGACCTACAACTTCTGAAGATCTATTCTCTTTGTTCATAGTTGCATGCCTCATAGGATGACGTTCATAGAACAAAATTAGTATGCCTCCATTAAAGCTGCAGTTATATCAAATTTATATTTAAGACAAACAAAATATACAGAAGAAACTATGTTTATGCAGAAATTACAATAAACAAGACAGTCCTGAAAAAATGAAGCTTTTAGGGTTTGTCCATGAATTCTTTAACATTTTGCTCATTATGAGGTGATGTGTTCCTATAAATTTAAGACTCCTGGTAAAATTATATTAACATAATTTCAATTCTACTGAGGCTGCTTGTTCTATACCCTGGACTTAGCACTATGTTTCTATGAAAAGATAAATCAGTTATAGCTTTTAAAAGGAAAAAAGTAGATCAGTCAGAGCTCAGATTTCTAACCTATTCTAAATTTAGGCATGACTAACAAGATAGAGAGGACAGAAAGGACTTTTTGAACTTGTTTAGTATTGCTTTGTGCGCCCATCTTCCTCCTATCTTATTGTGCAAGCTACCAAAACAAGTTGAGCAATACAGATATTGGGAACAAGAGAGTGCCTTGTCAAGTTTCTATAATAGGGGGAAAAAATGAAGCAAGCTCAAAAAGTTGAACAGAACGAAACGATGACTAACTAATCTAATTGGAACCATTTATCATGAACTTAGGCAAGTTTTGTCTGTCTGATGCTAGATCCCACGACACATTTCATCATAAACAGGAAAACTGATGAATACATGACAGTATCACTCAACTTGCTGGCATTAATATGCCCAGTAGTTGCAACAGTTCTAAACAGAGCCACTTATTCACCCAAAAATACATATCCCGTTCTCCTTTCCTCTTTCAAGTGTAATTACAATGTAATTCACAGAGTAACAGCTTATAGTCACACCCAAAGTCAAGCCACAGTTCTTATCAACAGTCAATCAAACAATACCAACAAATTATAGATTCTTTTAGCTCAAAGTCAACATTAAATTTTTGAATATTTCATTAATCCACAAATCACTGCAGGGGAATAAGACGAAGACGAGCAAAAGCCAATGCTACTTCGAGGTGTTGGACCATGAGCTCTGAAAACCGCAGCTTGACTCACACTAACATAAATAGCTTCGGAAAAATTTGAATTTCAAATCAATCCAGATCCCCAGTTACTTCAAAAACTCAGTCGAATTTCAAAGTTCTCCAAGAGTCAATCCAGATAACTAAAAAATAATCCTCAAAAAATTGTAATCTCGGAAGCTTCCAAGAATTAATTTCTTTCTAATACATATTTTTGCCATTTAAACAACACAAACTTTACATGAGAAAGCATCATAACAAACTGAATTATAAAGATGGAGACTGATAAAAACAGATATCAACCAAACCCTCGTCTTAGCTCTACAGATCTAAGCAAAATCATGTAGATTTTCACATATCAAGCTCTAAACAACAAAGTTACAACAAGCGCACAAAAATGAAGTCCAGAAATTTACAATGTAGGAAAATTCACCCACAATAAAGAAAAAAAAAGAGAGAAAAAAAAAAGAAATTTGAGCTGAGCTCACTCTGCATTTACATCAAGAGCTCGGCACACAGCAATCGGGATTCATTTCACCCGGATCCTTTATCCAGTGGTGTATAGATACAACCCGATGTGTATATCTACATATAGAGAGAAAGTAATAAGTGAGTGAGTGAGTGTGAAGGTGAGATTGTGTGAGAAAATGGAAGGTGGTGTATATAATCGCGTGTCTACAAAAGCGTAGAGTGAGAGCGGGATTTGAGCACAGTTCAAATCTTCTAATTTCTTGAAATAAATTTATGCAGTCTCCAATTTGTAATTTCCATCTTTGTCCCTAGATTTTTTTAGGTAGGGTAATCGGATATTGAGCCACCTGGCTTCCTTCCAAATATTCAAAAAAAGTAAGAAAAACTTGGGTTAATTATATGAATGGTCATTGAACTTTGTCAAGTGTTACTATTTCATAATCAAACTTTAAAATGTATCTCAATGGTCACCGAATTTTGCACCATGTTACCCATTCGTCACTCAAATGGAAAAATCTGTTAAGTCCAACAAACGACGTCAATTTGAGTGACGGATGGATAACATGGTGTAAAGTTCAGTAATCATTGAGATACATTTTAAAGTTCGGCCATGAAATAGTAACATTTGGCGAAATTCAATGATCATTGAGTTACATTTTTTTAAATTCAGTGAGTAAGTAGTAACATAGAGCAAAGTTTAGTAACCATTAAGATATATTTTAAAATTGAATTATTAAGCTCTTGTATGAGTCTCATTCTTTTAAAAAAAAAAAAATTCTTAAACAGTTATTTGACATCATTCAACCACACATTCTTCAGTAAAATAATATTACACACAAATTCAAAATTTTACTTTATTTTTTAACTGCGCATTTCCCATCAATATACTATTCAAAAATTCATTTTATCTCTCAAAATGGGGATCAAACAAGGGCTAAACTTCTCAAATCGACCTTTATGAAAGAAGAAATAAAAAAAATAAAGGGAAAAAAGATTAAACGGAAAATCAGAGACCTATAAATTAAATAAAAATAGAATTGTTGCTAGTATTCATTCATCACGGTGAAAAAGTACGTTTGATTTTTAGATCAACTGGTATCAATTCACCATATCTCAAACTCCGCATAAATAGATTGAAAGAGAAAGAGTTGAAACACTAAAAGAAATTGACAAAGAAAAATTAAATAAAAGTACGAAAATGTTCGAATAGTATCAATGTAATTGAGGTCGATTTGATTTTTCAACATGTTATTACTTAGTCACAGAACTTAAAAAATGTAACTTAATGGTCAATGAATTTCATCAAATATTACTATTTTATAACCGAACTTTAAAATGTATCTGAATGGTTATCGAATTTTGCACCGTGTCACCCATCTGTCACTCAAGTTGACGCCGTTTGTTGGACATAACGGATTTTTCTATTTGAGTGACGGATGGGTAACACGGTGCAAAGTTCAGTGACCATTGAGATATATTTTAAAGTTCAGTTATGAAATAGTAACACTTGACGAAGTTCAGTGACTAAATAGTAACATAAGGCAAAGTTCGATGACCATTTATATAATTAACCCGAGAAACTTTGATTACTTTTTGGGGTCGCATTACAAAATTATTAGGTATTAATCTATTTATTTATTTATTTATTTATTTATTATTATTATTATTTACTTGGATTTGGTGATTTGTTCACATTTTTATGGGTTGATTGATAGTTTTTTAAAATTGATCCCCAGCATGTGGGAGTTAATCTAGGAGAAAAATGGCTTTTGATTTCCATTTATTTTCGATTTTTTGTCTTAGTATTTGGGGAGAAATATTCTTAGAGTATGTTCGAGGTAGGTTTTTTTTTTTTTAGAAGGTGTCTGGGAGACATTTTTATATAAAAATGTATTTTTGAATAGTAAATTGATGTGAAATGTATGGTTGACAAATAAGGAAAAATTTTTGATTTACGTGTAATATTATTTTAATAAAGAATGTGTGGTTGAATAGAAGAGAAAAAATACATTTTAAAAAAAATGGGTACTAAACAGGGCCTTAGAATAAATTTTGTGTAAAGTAATTTTTTTTGCTTTGAAAATTGTATGGTTAAAACTTAAAAGTTAAAAAAAGGTTATAAGCCCATATGTAAAATTATTTTATAGAAAAAAGGTGTTATTAAAAATAAATTTCAAAATCTCTTCTAAACGGGGACTTAGAGTGAGTTATATTTTTGTTTCTTGAATTATTGTTATTTTGCGTTTTCACAGCCATATTTCAATTATTTAAAATGTCGCGATTGAAAAAAATAAAAAATTTCATCTAACATTGACAGTCTTCTTGCTACAAAGCTTTTTTTATGGCAATTATTACATTTTTTTTTTAGCACAGTCGAGGACTTTTGAGCTTCACTGAAAAATTTTCGAAAGCCTATTCAAATTTGAATGTGCACATTAAAAGCCTACTGTGAAAATATATTAGTATTATTCCTTATTTGGCAGAGATTAAGAAAAAACAAATTTATTTTTAGTCATACATCATCATGAAAGTAATTTTACATGTAAACTCATAAATAAAATTGCTCTACATTTTAATATCACATTCTTCAAAAAAATACTTTTCATTATTCTCAACTAATTTATATCAATGATCGAGTTGAGGTTAGTAATATCTTTACTCTTCACCTTCTAGACACTAAGAATTAGTCGTGCTTCACGTACAAAATCCTTCCTACAGGTTCTGCCAAAATGCACATAAACATTGGGAGGGTCGGTTTTTTGGGATATTTTTTTAATGCGACAGGTCCCGCATGGAGCCCATCTCATATGAGAATCTGCAAAACATCAGGCATGACTGACCCTATAAACTCAAATTATTCCAATAATAATAATTCAAAGAATAACGCTTCTTGTATATTCTTTGCTTAACATGGAGTTTGACACTTCATTGTTTTCAAACGTTTTAAAAAATAAAGTTGGCGGGAAAGTGTATTTTTTTCAAAAATTGTCCAATGGGATGTCGCCACGTGGTACAATGTAAAACTTAGCCCCTGTTTGTTTCTCATATTTGGAAGAATGAGGATGAAAAATATAGTCGTTACGGGCCTCATACAAAAGTACAAAAGAGAGAAATTCAAATTTGGTGATTTGATGTGATGGATAACGGTCATATTTTTAATTTTAATGGAGAAAAAATGGGAAACAAATAGGGACTTAATGTCAAACTCCATGTACTCGTAGCATGATTCTAATTCAAATCCCCCATTTTTCGTTTCTTGTGCTCCTATGTCAATAATTCTTTAAATTGACTTAGACTTGTCATTTTAAATCCACAATTGCATTGTACTTATTTAAATGTTTTCAAATTATAAAACATTTTGTAATTCTTTTACAACAAGACACCTGACATAAATTCATTTGCTCTTTAAAATTAGGGTTACTCTAAGAATAAAATTTTTGGTCATCTAGTATTAATTGGATATCAAAATATTTAAGGGGGTGTTTGAGAGAAATTTTTGTGTAAAAATGCATTTTTGAATAGTAAATTGATGGAAAATGTGTCGTTGAAAAATAAGAAATTTTTTTTTATTTACGTGTAATATTATTTTAATAAATAATGTATGGTTGAAAAAAAAATGTATTTTGAAAAAAATAGATACGAAACGGAGCCTAAAATTAGAACATGGGTAAAAGTTCTCTAAATTTTCAAAGGGTATCGAGTCATTTAACTTGGTCAAAATTGTTTAAACTTCTCATCTATAGACAGTAGGATTTCGATGCTAACAAAATGAATTAATTATAAGTACGAAAATTCATGGGGGCTACGTTCACACCACATTTTTTATAAATACATATCATTTTAATTACTTTAAAGGTCACCAACCTTTATTTATTGTCACGCTTATATTTTTAATTTTTTCATTCACCACATTCTTATTTTTAACATTTTATTGATCAGAAAATCTTGTTCTTAGTCATAATTTTCGTGTCTATATATATATATATATGATTAACATACTTTAAAATGAGTGTCGAATATTTAATAGCATTTTTTACATTATTATTTATTTAAATTTTACTTAAGAACGCAACATTTTGTAATCGACTTAAAGAAAAGTTTGGAAAGAAACCATAATCAAGAATAATGTACGTTAATTTGAGAATAAGAATACGATGAAAAAAGTCTGAGATGTAAATGTGATAATTAATGTGGAAAGGTTATGAACATTTTATGTAATTAAAATGTAGCTTATTTATTAAAAATAGAGTTAATATATTTAGCCAAACTCATATAATTAATCTCCTTTTTGGTGTCCATTGTCTTAAAATTCTTTTTGTTATAAGATCATTTTCAATCACATTCACATAATTAAAATTTTCCATGTAAACTCTTTTCCTTTTTTTTTTAATCATATATTCTTCTAAAAATACTATTCAAAACTCCTTTTTTTTTTTTTTTTTAAACAATGGCTAAAAAAAATCCCTTAAAATAAAAAATAATAAAGATAAAAAAAAAAAAAAGAATCCTCCATAAATGGGTTGGTCATTTATTAGAATACTGCTGTTCATTATGAATATGGTGGAATATTGGTAATAGAACAGTCTATGTGGAATAAGTGATTGGACAATTCAATTTTTATGAGAGAGATGGGGAGGAGATGTGGTATCGAGAGAGAGAGAGAGAGAGAGAGAGAGAGAGATTTCAAGGATAATAGGTTGTCACATTGCCAATGTTTAATAATCATGGTGATAAATAGCATTACTTTTTTTTTCAACTTTGTTTTCTTTATAAAAAACAAATTTTTTTGACACAATTCAACCTCCATACATATCATATTATTTAATTATAAATACCACATAAAATTGACATTAAAAGAATTAAATATTTGGTTATCGATACAATTTTTTTTTTCAATGCATTCCCACCACTATTTTTCGATTCTATGAACACTATTGTATTTGCTAAAATAAAAATGACTTTCAGCCATTTTTCATTGTGGAGTGGGTATAACTTGTAAGAAAAATGATTAAACTCATAACAATTATCGAAGAAGTTCAAAGCATGATAAAAAATATATGTCACAAATTTCCAAGACTTCTCTGATCACTCTCAAGAATTTTCAGTTTTATACAACTATGGATGTTAAATTGAATTTTACAAAACCAAAAAAAAAAAAAAAGAAAAAGAAAAAGAAATTATCATTCGAATTTACTACACACATTTTTAAACATAATTTCATTATAAGGATTCAATTTTTGTCA